TGTTTTAAGGATGCCCTGGGTTGTCTGCTAACGTATCATCTGTCAAATGCCATTGTTGTCATTGTGACCGGCACGTTTCCAATGTAAGGGACTCTGAGATGTCAGAAAGAGAGAAATATGCCCTGAAATTACCTTTGAATAAACATTGGGCTGCTAGTGGCAATTTTTTGAGGGGAAAAAATCGATATCCAAATTGCAAGTACACTTACTGGTGTGCACAGAGCCGCCCCCATTTCCATGCAGCCTGATCGGTGTATGCCAGTGATTCTCAGCCAGGGTGACCCAGCATGAGATCCTTTTAAGGGTGCCATGGGATCCTGCACAATATTAGCACTGCTTGGCGTGCAAACACCTACACATGAGTCACAAGATAAACCCAGAGTTTTCAAATAGGTCTCCAGAGTGACAAAATGACTCTGACCTGCTGTGGGCTTTCTGAGGTCTTTGCAACAGAAGATTTCTTCTGTTGTTTGTCTGTAGCCAAAAGAATCAAGTGAAAGGTAAAAGCTGGGATTTTCGGAGGCGGGGGGAGCTTGAGTCTAACGAGGAGCGCCTGGAGTATAACAATGCTGAGAACCAGTAGTGCACGCTAATGGTCAGACGCACCGGTCAGTGGGGACTCAATGCTGCCTTGCCTGGGAGTCTCATTGGTCCTTACTCATTCAAGGTGACCCCAAGGATTACCAGGGAGGTATTCTTTTCCCTCCACCCCTTCCTGCTCTTCCATCACATGGAAAGTTAGCTAGAATAACCCACTGCCTCGGGGTGAAATGGTGTGCCTGCCCCAGCTAGCGTATTGCTCTTCAGTACAGAGGAAAAAGCGTGAAGGCAAGTAGCTTGCTGAGTGAGGAAACTGGCATTTTCAGTGTACTCTTAACATGATTATTTCTAAAACCAGATTCTTTAGTCAGCAACTGGGTTCCCTCCTCAGGGCTGCCCTGGTGCCAAGTCTCAAACTTTAGAAGAAAAGTTTTTTTTAACTATTGGAGAACAAAACAAACAGCTGGAAATCCCTCATCCCTCCATCCAAGCTCCAAGGCTAAGCCCGTGCATGAATCCCATTGTAGCTCCTAGGTCCTAAGTTAAGCAGATATATGTTGACTCAATGTTGCTGGACAAGGGCTGTGGAGCTGGATAACTGGAATTTTTGTGTGAAATTAATTTTTGTGTGATTCTCCCAAGCAATCCACTTCTGCTTTGTAACTAAGCTGGAGATATTTCAGCCCAAACCACTTTGTTAGCTTTTAACACAATAAACAACGGAAAATAGAGGGTTAGAAAGGAAATGCTATCTGCCATAATTGCCACTGATGCACTGTAATTGCAGCTCATGTTGTGGCTATTCTTGCCTCCGCACATTTTCCAGTTCTCCTCATGGGAGATCCATCTGACTTAGTTACTCCTGTATGTCATTGTTGTTATGACCTTGGGTGGGAGACAATCCTTGAGGACATGTTCTCCAGAGACTTCTGTCCCATCTGAAATAGGTCTCTTCTTTTTTTGGACCCAGCCATCTACCAGAACCATTGCAGGCTAGAGTGAGGAGTTCCCAATGCATCCCAGCCCAGCCTAGGGAAGGCTGAGAATCTGGTTTAGGTCTGTCTTTACCAAGTAAACCACCCAAAATGGCTGTAATTTTCTAAGTTTGGAAAATGTAGTAGCAAGGAAAGAATTGATCAAACAGCTGGACAGCTGTTCAGACAATCTGAACTGGGAAAAACCGAGATGGGTAGTTTGTATTTTAAATTACGAAACTTTAAGGACCTCTGAAAACTCTGCTCTGCTTCCTTGTGACTGGACAGCTCAGGCTGCACAGCCAATCACCCACAACATGAAAACAAAATAATTACTCGACTCCGCTTACCCAGGTATAATTCTGGGCCACCCCCGTTTCCAACCCTGCCCAGCAGGATAGCCCACAACTCCGTCCTAATTCTCATCAAATGGGTCTCCTGCCACAAAAGCAGCTTTCCAACATTGGCCCTCACCCCCAGGAGTCTGTCAGGAGCAGGAATTTCTGCAAGCTCCTATAAACATTTTCATTCAGATAGACATGCCCTTCTTCAGTTGAGTTTCAGTCTGTCTGAGATAAAATAACTGATAGGCGGTAGCGTCTCTGGGAGGCTCAGTTTGTAGGGGAGGCCTCTTCTCCCTTGGGGCAGGATGTCCGTCAGTGGTGGGGCTGAGTGGGGCATTCGCTGCCTGCTTGTGACGTTTCGGTTACTGACCTCAGGTCCTTAGAGATTCTGATCCTGCTTGTGGAAAGTGTCCTGCGCTTCCTTGGCAGCTGTGGGGTTAATGCCAATCGACAAGAAGACCCGCAGACAACTGTCCCTGCATTGCTGAGTGTCACCGCTGAGGAAGCTGGGAGCGATTTCCCCTCTTTGTCCATGGTCTTCCCTGTGCCAGCCCCTCTGCAGCCTCTCTGGAGGCTGGCGCGCTGCCCAGTCCATCATGGCTCACAGTGCCGGCAGCTGCGCCGTGCTGCTCTGAAGTGTTATCTCTGCTAAGTTGTTCCCATCACTAATGAGCCAACTCTTGGCTGGAGCCCTGGCACACTGGCTTGGAAGGGGAGCTGTGCCAAGTACAGTGTGTGCTCCTGCGTCAGCTGGCGACTCAGAAAGCCCTAGTTGCTGAACCAGAAGCCGAATCATCCCACAGGTGACCTAAGGGGAACAGAAGTCAATTGGTGCCTCGTGGAACAGCATCCCTTAGTTGTGATGGGCCTGGCCCCATCTGCCTGGCCTGCCCGAGTGGGGGACAAGCCTGGTGGAGGGAACAAAATGAGACCCAGCCTTCGCTGCAGCTTAAAGCTGGCACCATCCCAGGGGCAAAGCCCTATTCCTGGCATCTCGGAGTCCAGCTGCTGCCTTCGTAGAAGCAAAGCTGCCTGACGCACATGGCACTGGTGCTGGGCTGTAGGCCGCAGCCCCCCAGTGCCCTGGATCGTGGGGGAGTCCTTTGCCAACACTGGAGCTTCTCTAGGTGTTCTGTGGAGAAAGAGATGTCTGTTCCTCTGCAATGCCCTTATTCTTATTTAGCAGGGTGCTGTGATTCCTTCGGCATGAAGGGGCAGGAGCAAGGTCACCTGTATGGTGATAGCCCAGAGCAGATATGCTGGCCTCAGGAATAGTTACAGTCAGAAAGCCAAGCAATGAGGAACCCCCCGCTGCCCAAGAACATGACATAAGAATGCCATTTACTGGGTCAGACCAGGGGTCCATCTTGCCCAGTCTCCTGTGTTACATAGGGGCAGAGGGTGGCTGCTGAAAGGGAGAATGAACAGGGTATGACCAAGATTTTACCTCCTGTTCCTCCACCGCTTGCAGCCTTCGGCATTTGAGGATCTGCCTATGGCAACCACTGGGAGCTCCGTGCCCCCAGGACCCTACAAACCATTCAGGCAAGGGGATGTGGGACCTGCCTGCTTTTGCCAAGTCAGTGCATTGCTTTGTTGTCCTGAAACAGCACAAGGGAGAAAGGGATGCGTCAGCCATGTCCCTTGGACCTGGCTTAACCTCCACCGTGGCCTCAGCTTGGGCTTGTAAAAGGCAGCCCTGACTGTCTTTGGCTCGGTGCCTGATTGCCCCTGACAGCAGTGATTCCTGGGATTAGCAGCGCTGAACAGGGGGTGGGGACATTGCAGCCCCCGTGGCATCACAGAGCTGCCCCCTTGGCTTGTACGAAGCAGAGGGACAGGGTCGTTGCAGCTGGGTTTGTCCCTTATGCACCAGAGCTCTGCAGTGCACGGCTCTGCCACCTGGGCAGCTCAGAGGAAGCGGGGAAGGGCAGAGGAGGGAGATGGCAGTGTGAACCACCGTGGAGATAGACACAGAAGGAGGAAGGAGTTCAGGAGGGGTGTGTCTGGGGTTCCCTGCATGTGAATGATTAGATGATTACACGGTCAGGTGGGTGGCAAATCGGCTAA